TTGACCTGCTGGGCTCCGGCGATCCTTCCGCCTCAGCCTTCCAAGTAGCTGGAACTACAGGCGTGTGCTGCCACGCCTGGCTACTTTTTATTTTATTGTAGAGACGAGGCCTCGCCAAGTTGCCTGGGCTGGTCTCGAACCCGCGGGCTCAGCAGTCCACTCGCCTCGGCCTCCCAAAGTGCTGAGATTACAGGCTGAGCCACCGAGCCCAGCCACATGCGTCTTTTATGACGACGCGTGCTGTTAATCCTGGGGCTTAAGCCAAGTCCCACATAGCGACCTGCATTTGCTGTCCTGCCTGACTCAGATGCATGTGACCTCCTTGTCTTCCCCAGTCCGCCATCGGCTGGCGCCCTGACAGCACCCACCTGCTGGTCTTCTCCACTGAGTCAGCCTTCCATTACGAAGCTGATGGCGCCAATGTGCTGGCCGGCATCATGAACCGCAACGACGAGAGATGCCACCTGGATACCACAGGAACCTACACCCAGTACAGGACACAGGACTACCCGTCGGTGCCCACCCTGGTGCGCCTGCTCGCCAAGCACAACATTATCCCCATCTTCGCGGTTACCAACTACTCCTACAGCTACTACGAGGTGCGGAGCCGGGCTCTGGGGGCGAGAAGGGGCCAGGGCAGGGGGTCCATGAAACTTCCCATCATGCCTTTCTTCCATCCTCCCCTGCTCTCTCCTTTCCTTCCCAAAGCCTTTGGGGCCCCTGAGAGTGGGCCCTGTAGGAAGGGTAGGTCATATGCCCATTTCCCACTCTGACTCCCAACAGGTGGGAGACAAGACAGGCTCTGGGTTGGGCTCGGTGGCTCAGCCTGTAATCCCAGCACTTTGGGAGGCCAAGGTGAGTGGATTGCCTGAGCCCGTGGGGTTTGAGATCCACCTGGGCAACTTGGCAAGACCTCATCTCTACAATAAATAAAAAATTAGCCGGGCGTGGTAGCGCACACCTGTAGTTCCGGCTACTTGGAAGGCTGAGGAGGAAGGATCGCCAGAGCCCAGCAGGTCAAGGCTGGGGTGGCCATGAGTGTGCTACTGCCCTCCAGTCTGGGCGACGGAGTGAGACACCAACCCCCAAAAAAGAAGGCAGGCTCTGCTACATAACCGCAGATTCCAGGCCTTGGTTTTCCCATCTGCGAAGCGGGGGTCATTCCAGAACTGCTGCTGGAATTCCACAAATGGTTAGCCTGAGGCCCGGCATTCTCTCGTGCAGAAGCTTCACACGTATTTCCCCGTCTCGTCGCTGGGGGTGCTGCAGGAGGACTCGTCCAACATCGTGGAGCTGCTGGAAGAGGCCTTCAATGTGAGGGCAGTGCGGGCTCCAGCCTGAGCCCTTCAGGGCAGGAGGGGGCAGGGTGGGCAGTGGGTGTCTCAGGTCTTGGCTGAGAAGTGAGTCTGGGATAGGCCAGTGGGGGGTGGTCTCTGGCTGTCCCTAGGGCCCTGAGGTGCTCACGTGGGACACTGCCACTGCGATCCCCTGACACCAGGCGGGCCCCCACGGAGGTGAGGGTGGAGCGCAGCCAGGCCAGGCTGGAGCTGGTGAACCCAGGCTCCCTCCCAGACCCCTGATCGCCTGTCCTCCCTCAGCGCATTCGCTCCAACTTGGACATCCGGGCCCTGGACAGCCCCCGAGGCCTGCGGACAGAAATCACCTCCAAGATGTTCCAAAAGACGAAGACTGGGTCCTTCCACATCCGACGGGGGGAAGTGGTATGCCTCTGCAGGGGCAGTGGGAGCAGTGGGGCAGGGGCACTGGCACAGCACCTGGGAGGGATGGAATCATCTCAAACAGTAGTCACGAGCATGGCACCTGGAGTCAGGCAAGCCTGGGTTCAAATCCCCTGGGTCAGTCACTTGGATGAGTGTGGCGTGTTCCTTGGCTGATATGTATCCTTGTCCACGAAGTGGGATTAATATCAGCATCGACCAGGCACAATGGTTCAGCCTACAATTCCCAGCACTTTGGGAGACTGAGGCGAGAGGATTGCTTGAGGCCAGGGGTTCGAGACCAGCCTGGGCAACTTGGTGAGACCTCGTCTCTACAATAAATAAAAAAATAAGCCAGGTGTGGTAGCGCGCACCTGTAGTTCCAGCTACTTGGAAGGCTGAGGCGGAAGGATCGCCTGAGCCCAGCAGGTCAAGGCTTCGGTGGCCATGAGCATGCCACTGTACTTCAGCCTGGGTAACAGAGTGAGACCACCTCAAAAAATTAATTAATTAAAAAATTGGCCAGGCTCGGTGGCTCAGCCTGTAATCCCGCGCCTTGGGAGGCCAAGGTGAGTGAATTGCCTGAGCCCGCAGGTTCGAGACCCACCTGGGCAAGTTGGCGAGACCTCATCTCTACAATAAATCAAAAAATTAGCCAGGCGTGGCAGCGTGCCGGTAGTTCCGGCTACTTGGAAGGCTGAGGTGGAAGGATCGCCGGAGCCCAGCAGGTCGAGGCTGCGGTGGCCGGGAGTGGCCACTGTACTCCAGTCTGGGCGACAGAATGAGACTCCAACTCAAAAATAAATAAATAAATAACAGAATCAAGCTCAGAGGGTCGCTAAAGCGAACAGATGGGCTAATGTCACAGAACCCAAGGAGGCGCTGGTCACTGTTATTATGACAGTGCCTGGAAGAGTGAGCAGGAACTAGGTGTCAGGGATCCAGGCACATCCCAGAAGTTTGATGGACAAGTGGCCCCAGGTCTTTGGGGCGGGGCCTGCCTTGGCTGACCTCAGGTTCTGCAGGGCACGTACCAGGTACAGCTGCGGGCCATCGAGGACGTAGACGGGACACATGTGTGCCAGCTGCCAGAGGCAGATCAGAAGGGCAGCATCCACCTGAAACCTTCCTTCTCTGATGGCCTCAAGATGGACGTGGGCATCATCTGTGATGTGTGCACCTGCGAGCTGGTACGATGCGGCCCCACAGGCGTGAGGGACCCCGGGGCCCCACAGGCTGAGCACCCTGGGGCCCTGAGTAATGAAGAGGAGCCTCTTGTAGCCTCATCTCCCTCGTGGGGTGTCTTGAGGCACAGAGGGCCGCAGGAGTGTCAGTGGCCCTGGCGCTCCTCCCCCTTCACACCCCTCCACGGTCTCATTGCAGCAAAAAGAGGTGCAGTCAGCTCACTGCAACTTCAATGGAGACTTCTCCTGTGGACACTGTGTGTGCAGCGAGGGCTGGTGAGTGGGGAAGGGGAGTCTGACACCCAGGATGCCAGCAGCTGCCTCGAGGGTGCTGGGCCCCTGCAGTAGCCTGACCCTGGAGGCACCTGTGGGGATCACAGGAAGGGCTGGGAGAAGGACACACCTAGTCGATGGGTGAATCCAGTTCTGAGCACTTTGAAGTACAGAGATGTAGGGACCATCTCTCGAAAGACAAGAATTGAGATGAGGTGGCTGTCAGGGTGGGCGCTTGGCATTGGGGGACAGGCACAGGAGGGAGATTTCCTTTTCACCCCATACCTTTAGTGTTCTGAGCCATATGCTGTATTGCCTCATCGGAAGAGAGCTCATAAGTGACGGTAGAAAAGCTTTTAGCCCCCAGGATACCAGACAAGTCTGTCATAACTTGAGGCAGAGAGCAGCGAGGAAGGGACAATGGGGGGGGGGGGGGGGGGGCGGGGGGGCCTGCCTTGGCCCTCTCAGAGCCTCAGTTTCCTTATCTGTCAAATGGGACAGTAAAAGCCCCAGCCTTGCCCCCCTGACTGCGGAGAAGTGACCGCTGTCTCCCTCAGGAGCGGCAAGACCTGCAACTGCTCCACCGGCTCGCTGAGTGACATGCAGCCCTGCCTGCGGGAGGACGAGGACAAGCCATGCTCAGGCCACGGGGAGTGCCAGTGCGGGCACTGTGTATGCTATGGTGAAGGGCGCTATGAGGGTCAGTTCTGCGAGTATGACAACTTCCAGTGTCCCCGCACCTCAGGCTTCCTCTGCAACGGTGAGCTCAGCTGCCATGGCCAGGGCTGAGGGTGTGGGTGGTGGGCAGCAAGGGGACCCTCCCTTCAGGACCCAGGTTGGGAGAACCAGGCCTGGAGTCGGAATACCCAGGTTCAGGCCCGGCCCTGGGCACCCTGGGCACCCTGAGTGTCTCTCTCAAGTCCTGCCCCAACCTGGACCTCACGTCCCTTATCTGTAACATCGATACCCAGGGTCTCTGTGGGCTCAGCATTTCCCTGGCTCCCCTGAGGTTCTCTCCGGCAATCTGTGTTTGTGTCTGACCCCTTTCTCCATGCCCCATCTCATTTCAACTCCATCTCATTAGGGTGGGTGCCACCCAATTATGGTTGGCAGGCATATGACATGGCGATCTTTGCTCTCTCCAAAGATGTTATTTTGTTTTGTTTTGTTTTTTGAGTCGGGGTCTCACTCTGTTGCCCAGACTGGAGTGTAGTGGCACAGTCGCTACTTGCTCCAACCTCAACCTGCTGGGCTCCGGCGATCCTTCCGCCTCAGCCTTCCAAGTAGCCGGAATTACAGGCATGCGCTACCATGCCCAGCTGATTTTTTGATTTACTGTAGAGATGAGGTCTCGTTGCCCAGGCGGGTCTCGAACCCGCGGGCTCAGGCAATTCACACACCTCGGCCTCCCAAAGGCACGGGATTACAGGCTGAGCCACCGAGCCCAGCTTTGTTTTGTTTTTTGAGTCAAGGTCTCACTTTGTTGCCCAGACTGGAGTGTAGTGGCACAGTCATGACCACAGCCTCAACCTCCTGGGCTCAGGTGATTCTTCTGTCTCAGCCTCCCAAGTACCTGGGGCTATAGACGTGTCCCACCATGCCTGGAAAAGTTTTTGATTTTTTGAAGAGACAAGATCCCACTGTGCTGCCTAGGCTGGTATGAAACTCCTGGTCCAAGCAATCCTCTTGCTTTGGCTTCCCAAAGTGCTGGGATTACAGGTGTGAGCCACCATGCCTAGCTAAGAAGACACTCCATTTCTAGTGGCCTGGAGTTATGCTTCCTCTGTATTCGCATGGGGCCTGATCAGGCCCAGGTCATGAGCACATCGTCTAGCCAGGCCCACCAGAGCTGGACAGAGTCACAGAATTCAGACAAGGGGGCCCATGGAAGGATCAGTAGTTGAATGGAGGATGACAAATGAAAACCACTTATCAAATACTTATTAAGCCCCTATTGTATACTTGCCACTGGAGGTCGAGACCTGCTTTTCTATTCTTTCCTCCATTCTTGCTTTCATTCACCATGTCTTCCCTTCAACTGTGCATCCCAGAGTATGCTCAGAGAAGGGAGAACCAAACACCACTGGAGAAAGACAGACATTTGGCACAGGTGGAGGTGTGAGAAAGGAAGGGAGGACATGCCTCTAGGGAATGCGACAGAGCCAGAGTACAAGAGGCTTGGGCTCTAGTCCAGGGTGGGACTTGATCCTTTGGACAAAAGGGAGTCACTTGAGGTTTTCATTTAATTTTCTGTTTGTGTGTTAACCTTGTATCCAGCCACCTTGCTTAACTCACTTATGAAATCTAATAATTTATCTGTAGATTCTTCTGGATGTTTTTTGTCATGTGCCTGATACTCGCAAATAATGACAGTTTTATTTCTTACTTTCCAAAACTTATGTATTTTATTTCTTTTTCTTACCGTATTACATTGGCCAGGACCCATTAGAGCAGGGGTGCCCAACCTTTTGGCTGTATCGAGTAAAGAGGAATTGTTTTGGGCCACACATAAATTATATAACATAGTTAGTGTGTTTACATAATAAGACTTCTTTAATTTTTATATTTTTGGTATAAAGTTTACAAAAATGAGAACAATATAAAACTAGTGGGAAATTTGAGTTTGTTTTTGTAAAACTAATCTATCAGCCAGGCTCGGTGGCTTAGCCTGTAATCCCGCACCTTGGGAGGCTGAAGTGAGTGGATTGCCTGAGCCCGTGGGTTCGAGACCCACTTGGGCAACTTGGTGAAACCTCATCTCTATAATAAATCAAAAAATTAGCCGGGTGTGGTAGCACGTGCCTGTAGTTCCAGCTACTTGGAAGGCTGAGGCGGAAGGATCGCCAGAGCCCAGCAGGTCGAGGCTGCGGTGGCCGGGAACGTGCCACTGCACTCCAGTCTGGGTGATAGAGTGAGACTCCAACTCAAAAAAAAAACTAATCTATCAATGTCTGGTTCAGTGGAAGTGATTGCAATTCTTAGTGAGTTCTCAAGGTGCTTGTTAGAAATGTTTGTTTGAATTTTTCTCTTTGTGTACTTAATAATTGAAAACAGCTGCTTGGGCAACCCCTTCAGGTCCCCTCCTACTATGGGAGTTTTTCTGTCCTCTCAATAAATCCTGCTTTAAAAAAAAAAAAAGAAAGAAAACAGCTGCTCACAAATGTATGTGCTGCCAAAAAGCAATGTCATGAATAAGGAGTGACTGTGAACTTCAAAAATGGAACTACACATGGGGTCATAAAGAAAATAAACGCTGAAAAGCATATGATGTTAAAAGGTCTGCGGGGCCGCATTACTAGCTGTCCTGGGCCTGCATTAGAGGTTCTTGAACAGGGGAGCCATGTGACTGGATTTGTTCTGGGATGATCATTCTGGCCGCAGAGTGGAATTTAGAAGGTGGGCTGGTGAGGGAGCAATGGAAGGAAGGAGATTCCAGTAAAGCGAGGAAGTGATGATTTCGGCCCCTGGATGGAGACATCCTGGCTCCCACTACTCGGTTCCCATAGGTCCTCCCTGGCAGGAGGGCAGCCTAGCCTGCAGGCACAAATGTGGCTTTCCTCTCCCTTCCCTGCCCCTCTCTGCAGACCGAGGACGCTGTTCCTTGGGCCAGTGTGTGTGTGAGCCTGGTTGGACAGGCCCGAGCTGTGACTGTCCACTCAGCAATGCCACCTGCATCGACAGCAACGGGGTAGGCCTGGGCATGACAGGCAGTGTGGGACAATAGACGGGGCCCCAGGCAGGGCCACCCACCCTCTCAAGGGAAAACCCCATGAAGAGAAGGGAGGGAAGCAGCCAGGGATGGGGCACAGCTGGCTCACTGGTGACCCTTCCTACCCCAGGGCGTCTGTAATGGGCGTGGCCATTGTGAGTGTGGCCGCTGCCACTGTAACCAGCAGTCGCTGTACACGGACACCGTCTGCGAGATCAACTACTCAGCGGTGAGGCCAGGATCGCTGGGGTGTGGCCTGGGAATCCTGGGCACAGGGCAGAGTGGACAGGAGGGGCTGAGGTTGGGCGCTGGGGAAGTGGGGCCTGGCTGAGGCCCACCCTGCACAGTGTCCATCCGCCCTCTTCTCCCCACCCAGATCCGTCTGGGCCTCTGTGAAGACCTGCGCTCCTGCGTGCAGTGCCAGGCTTGGGGCACTGGGGAGAAGAAGGGGCACACGTGTGAAGAGTGCAGCTTCAAGGTCAAGATGGTGGACGAGCTTAAGAAAGGTAGGGGGCGGGTCCTGGGGCCGAGGTTCTGAGAGCCTCCGTGGGGGGCACCCCACAGGACAGAGGTGTCACTTATCTGGTCACAGGGCTTGCAGTCTGAGTTGAGGTCACACAGTCTAGATGGGGGTTCCAGAGTCTAGAGAGGGCTTCTACAGAATCCAGACAGGGGACACTGAATCCAGGAAAAGGGTAAAAAGTCTAGGCAAGAGGCACAGAACCCAGGCAGGGGCACAGTCTGGCCAGGGGGCAGAGCTAGGGAGGGGGACAGAGTCTGGGGAGGAAGCACCTGGCTTGGGCAGGAACGTGAACACAGCAGGGGCACATGGTTGGGCTACGGGCTATGCGGGCTGCCCTCTAGGTCAGATGCGTTTTCTAGACACCAAGCTCCTGGGTGATGCCCAGGTCGAGGGAGTGGAGGAGACAGATTTGCAGGCTTCCATGCTCTGGGGCCAGCCGCATCACCCCATCCCTGTGCCACAGGAGGACGCAACCTGCCAGGGCCTTATGCTCTTCCTCAGGGAGGTGCCTCAGGCCCTGCCATGGGCAGAGTGGGCCCAGAGTAGGGGGGTCTGGGGGTGCTCCCGAGTGGAGGGACGGGGTCAGGGTGCCCCGCTGACTGGCTGTGGGTGCAGGGGAGGAGGTGGTGGAGTACTGCTCCTTCCGGGATGAGGATGACGACTGCACCTACAGCTACACCGTGGAGGGCGATGGCACCCCTGGGCCCAACAGCACCGTCCTGGTGCACAAGAAGAAGGGTGAGCCGGCGGGCCGAGCGTGGGGTGGGGAGGGAGTCAGAGCTCAGGGTGGGAATGGGCACTACCTCCCTCCTCCTCCTCTCTCGCCTCAGACTGCCCTCCCAGCTCCTTCTGGTGGCTCATCCCTCTCCTCCTCTTCCTGTTGCCGCTCCTGGCCCTGCTGCTGCTGCTTTGCTGGAAGTACTGTGCCTGCTGCAAGGTGAGCCCCAGCTTCCTCACCCTCACCAGGTCCTCCCTAAAGTCCCTAACCCCCCGCCGGGATCCTCCCTAGGGTCCCTCTACCCCCAGAGTCCTCCCCAGGGTCCCTACTGCCCAGCGTCCTCCCCAGGGCCTGCAGCCTCACCAGATTCCCACCCCCTAGGATCCCACCTAGGGTTCTCATCCCCCAGCAGGGTCCCCACCCTGCTCCCCCCACAGCCCACCCAGGGTCCCTCTCTGCAGCTTCCTACCCAGAAGCTTCAGCCCATGGAGTCCGACTGTCTAGATTCTGGTCCCAGCTGTGTGACCTGAGGCAAGTTACTTAATCTCTCCATGTCTCAGTGTCCTTATCTGTAACATGGAAATAATTGGACCTACCTCAGAAAGTGGTGATGAAGCCTAAATCCGTCGAGTTCTCAGAAGAGACTGACCCATAGGAAGCACCATGTTGTACCTTGACCAGTTCCTACCCCTTCTGAACCTGGCTCCTGAAGACCCCCACTGCCCCAGCCCTGAGCCCCCGCGTCCAGCCTCCCAAGTGACAGTAATGACGTGAGGCCTATGCTACCCCAACCCCGAGGGGTCCCTGGAGCCCCAGCTCCCGGCACAGTCCTGCTGTTGGCTTCAGCCTTTTGCTCAGTTGGTGTCACTCTTTGTGTTGTTACAACAGTGTGCGTCCACGTGACCTCATTTCTTTCCTCCCGGTCACTCCATGAGGTCAGTGGGCAGGGTCACTATCCCCCATGACAGATGGAGAAGCTGAGGCTCAGAGAGACAGACAGGATATATGAGGTTCTCGTAAGTGTGGAGGCAGGGTGAACCAAATCTGCCCCAGCTGTAGTGCCCACCCCAAGGCCTTCGTCCTGCCCTTTGCCTACCATCAGCAGCCAGATTCCCGGGAGCACCTGCCCTAAGGTCAGCCACGTGCAGAGGGTGTGGGAGCCACAACAGGGAAGGAAGGGCCCTGCCCGCCAGGAGCTGAGTCAAGAGAAAGCGTGAGGGGTGGCACGGCCCAGAATGTCACACTCCGTAGTGACCCCTAGTGTTGTGGGATATTAGTGTGAGTTACATGGAAAAGGAGTTCTGTGATGAAATAGGTTTGAGCCAGCATGGTGGCATGTGGCTGTAGTCCCAGCTACTCAGGGGGCCAAGGTGGGAGGATCACTTGAGATCAGGAGTTCAAGACCAGCCTGGGCAATATAGTGAGACCCCATCTTATTACCAAAAAAAAAAAGTGCAAGAAAAGGTTTCTTTAGCTGGGTGTGGTAGCACGTGCCTGTAGTTCCAGCTACTTGGAAGGCAGAAGGATCGCTGGAGTCCAGCAGGTTGACGCTGGGGTGGCCGTGTGTGTGCTACTGCACTCCTGGGCGACTGAGTGAGACTCCAACTCAAAGGAAAAAAAAGAAGAAACAGGTTTCTTCTCTGCAGGACTTCTCAGAGCCTTTGGTATAGCCACATGCATGGTAAACCTGCAAGAGGGGCATGGGAAATGCATTCAGTGCTTTCCAAATGAATCTGACCGCAGAACCTTTGCAGAACCAGGGGTCACAGCACAAACTTTGGGAGCCGACTGCCCCCAGCACTCTCTATGCTCATGTGCCCATGCTTAGATCCCTGACACGGCCTGGAGATTCTAGGGTCTGGGGAGGCACGGCCACCCCTCTGGACCACTGGCCTGGGCGGGTGGCTGGAGGGGCTCACCTAGGCCAGGACTGCTGTCTCGAGCCTCACCCCCACCCACCTTGCCTCCTAGGCCTGCCTGGCACTTCTCCCTTGCTGCAACCGAGGTACGGTCCTGGCATCACAAAGGCGGTGGGGCTCTGACTACTCTTTCTCTAGGCTGGGGTGGAAGGAAGCGGGGCCTAAGCCCGGAACAGCAGAGGGGGGAGGCCCTGGAGTCCTTCCTCATGGAATGTGGCTGGGTGAGTATAGGGAGGGGCCCCGTGCTGAGGACCTTGTCCCGCAGGTCACATGGTGGGCTTTAAGGAAGACCACTACATGCTTCGGGAAAACCTGATGGCCTCAGACCACCTGGACACGCCCATGCTGCGCAGCGGAAACCTCAAGAAGCACGACGTGGTCCGATGGAAGGTCACCAACAACATGCAGCGGCCCGGCTTTGCGACCCATGCAGCCAGCACCAACCCCACAGAGCTGGGTGAGGGCAGGCCTTTGCCCTTGGGACCCTCTGTTCTGATCTGAGATCACACCACTCCTGTCTTATCTGGATGTCTGGTGCAGCACAGGACGCGACCACCTTTTGCCCTTTCCTGGTGGCACTACAAGCCTTGGACCTCGGCATGCCAGGGCTGCAGGATGCCACCTGGCCAGCTGTCCCCTGATCCTAATGGGGCTGTTGGAGGGGTGCTCTGCAGTGCCTGTCCTGCAGGGGGCTAACAACCCATCCCTCCCACCTGTCCCCAGTACCTTACGGGCTGTCCCTGCGCCTTGCCCGCCTTTGCACCGAGAACCTACTGAAGCCAGACACTCGAGAATGCGCCCAGCTGCGCCAGAAGGTGGAGGAGAATGTAAGGATGAGGAGGATGAGGCCGGGTGGCAGGTGTGGGTGTGAGGGCAGGCGGGGGGTCAGGGGAAAGCATCGAGGTTTGTCCAGGTCGGAGAGAGGGGCTTCTGTGGACACAAGCCTGGCAGTGGTCATCCTGGGATCTGTCCCCCGAATGTTTCCAGAGGGGAGGAGGCTATAGGGCCTGGACCACAGGACATGGCCCCACGGGCATGCCCCAGCCAACCCTAAGGTCCAGTGGGCAGAAAGACCACCTGGCTCCCCGGGGTCCCCACTGTAGGGCTTGTCCAGCTCACGGCCCTCCCTTGCCTGACAGCTGAACGAGGTATATAGACAGATCTCAGGTGCACACAAGCTCCAGCAGACCAAGTTCCGGTGAGTTCCGGGGTGCCCCAGCTTGGGTGGGGACAGCCTGGCTGCACTGAGCTCTGCCAGCTCCAAGCTGGACAACAGTTTCCCTGGGAGTGCGGGGGGTGGGAGTTACTCCTACAGCCGATCCCAGGAGCTGAAGCCCCCCTGCAGATCAGACCTCCATCCCAGGGACCATCTGGTTCACAGTCCCCTCTTTGTCCCCCACAGGCAGCAGCCCAATGCCGGGAAAAAGTGAGTAGACGACACACAGGTGGGACAGCTCCTACTTCCTGTCTGTCCCCAGTCCAGCCACCTGCCTCATCTGTCCCTGCTCTACCCCCACCCCCATCCCCCTCCCATGGGAAGGGACGTCCGGAAGTGTCCGTCATGGGTGAGGACCGTCCTTCATTTCTTTACTGACCTTCAACAAATACTGAAAGCCTAGACTAGAACAGCCAAAACTTGGCCGGGCTCAGTGGCTCAGCCTGTCATCCCAGCACTTTGGGAGACCAAGGTGAGTGGATTGCCTGAGCCTGAGGGTTCGAGATCAGCCCGGGCAACTTGGCCAGACCTCGTCTCTACAATAACATAAAAAATAGCCAGGCATGGTAGCGCGCATCTGTAGTTCCAGTTACTTGGAAGGCTGAGGTGGAAGGATTGCCGGAGCCCAGAAGGTCAACGCTGGGGGGCCGTGAGCATGCCCTGCACTCCAGCCTGGGTGACAGAGTGAGACTCCAACTCAAAAAAAAAAAAAAAAAGGAACAGGCAAAGCCAAACGAACCTTGTCCCTGTCCTCATACTGGCCACAGCCCCCTACCTAGTACCAGGGGTAGCTCCGTGCACACTTTCATCCTCTCCAGGACCAAAGACCCTGACCCTGGGAGTGCCTCTGAGCACCAGGTCAGGTACCAAGAAGAGGGGCCAGTGAATCATGCACCTCTTTTCCAAGGCCCTGGTCCAAGTCCTGGCCCTTCCTGGAAGAGAGCAAGGGAGTGAGGAGGGGGTCTCAGAGTTGCAGAGACAACTACAATCGTGGCATATCACCATTAATAAGAATCATTTGGGCCGGGCTCAGTGGCTCAGCCTGTCATCCCAGCACTTTGGGAGGCGAGTTTAGTGGATTGCCTGAGCCCAGGGTTTGAGACCGTCCTGGGCAACTTGGTGAGACCTCATCTCTACAATAAATCAAAAATTAGCCGCGTATGGTAGCGTGCGTCTGTAGTTCCAGCTACTTGGAAGGCTGAGGCAGAAGGATTGCCTGAACCCAGCAGGTCAATGCTGGGGTGGCTGTAAGCATGCCTTTGCACTCCAACCTGAGTGACAGAGTGAGACTCCAACTCAAAAAAAAAAAAAAATCATTTGGACCAGTTTTTTTTTTGAGTCAGGGTTTCTGTCGCCCAGGCTGGAGTACAGTGGCACTATCACAGCTTACTGCAGCCTCGACCTCCTAGCCTCAAGTGATTCTCCTGCCTTAGCCTCCTGATTGGCTAGGACTATAGGCATATGCCACAATGCCTGGCCAATTAAAAAGATTTTTTTGTAGAGATGCCTTGCTATGTTGCCTGGGCTGGTCTCCAACTCCTGGGACTGCCAGAGTGTTGGGATGACAGGTGTGAGCCACCGCGCCAGCCTAGACCAGCATTTTTGAGGCCTGCAATGAGCCAGGCATTTCCCAAGAGCCTTACATACGTGGTTATCTTATCCAACCCTCTCATCAAGCCTGTGAGGCAGACACTGCTGCCGTTCCGGTTTCAAAGATGAGGAATCTGAGGCTCAGAGAACTTAAGTGATTGCCCAAGATTACCTGGCTGAAAACTAGAGCCCGGGCTGGGACCCAGGCAGCCTGGTTTCAGCACCCCCACCCTTAGCATCTTTGTGGTCCAGCCCTGCTTGGTGAGGGGAGTGGGGAAGCCCATTTCACAGAGTGGGACACTGAGGCTACGGGAGGTGAGGTAACTGAGGTGGAGGGTGAAGGTGTCGGGGCAGGCATGGGCCTCGAGCAGCACTGCTTGGCTCTGAAGACCTTGCGCTATCTGCTTCCTCACCCCCTGGCCCCTGAGGGGGAGGGACAGGCTTGACAGGTGTCATCCTGGGATCTGTTCCCCGAATATTTCCAGGGGGAGGAGGCTACAGGGCCTTGGCCTCAGGACATAACCCCTCCCCGATCCAGGCAAGACCACACCATTGTGGACACGGTGCTGACAGCACCCCGCTCAGCCAAGCAGGCTCTGCTGAAGCTTACGGAGAAGCATGTGGAACAGGGGTCTTTCCACGAGCTCAAGGTGTCCCCAGGCTACTACACCCTTACTGCAGACCAGGGTAGGTGGGCAGGCCCCATGCCCCAGGGTAGGTGGGCAGGCTCCCTCCCATCTCCCACCTGTGTGGCCCCATGACCCACGTCCGGCCACCCGTTGACCCCTACCCAGACGCCCGGGGCATGGTGGAGTTCCAGGAGGGTGTAGAGCTGGTTGACGTGCGAGTGCCTCTCTTCATCCGGCCCGAGGACGATGACGAGAAGCAGCTGCTGGTAGAGGCCATCGACGTGCCTGTGGGTACCGCCACCCTCGGCCGCCGCCTGGTGAATATCACCATCATCAAGGAGCAAGGTGAGTCGGGGTGGGGGGAGAGGCGGACAGACGGGGACTCTGGGCTGCCTGGTTCCCCCAGAGGGAGCGGAAGTAGAACCCGGCCATGTGGCCTGAGCCAGCCATTTAACTTACGCAAGCCTTGGTTTCTCCATCTGTAAACTGGGAACAGGCTTCTGAGGCTGTGGCTGCACATCTCTTTGTACAATACCCAGTGGTAAGCTCTCAGTAAGTGGGAGCTTCTGTTAGCATCACTGTCGGGTACAGGTCTTCCTGGCGCCATCCCGCCCCTGGTTCCTCTCTATCTAGAGGCGGGGTCTGACAAAGCATCACACCATGAACACTTGAGATGCTGATGACAGACCTCCTGGCATCCAGAGAGCTCTGATCCCCCTCCTCACCTGCTCCTGAACCCATGGGCCTTAGGCTTTTGCCCGGCTCTGCCCCAGCCCTGAGTCTTTGGTTCTGCCTCTGCCTGGCCTCCTTTCTGTGCCCTGACCCTTCCAGGATGTCCGTTGGACACTGTCCCAGCTCCCACAGAGTTTTTGGGAAGAATTTTCCATCCCGTTCCTCCACCCTCCTCCAAGGGCGATGGGGTGAAGGGTACCAAGTAGACTCCTGGATTCTGGGCCAGGCCAGAGGAAGAGCAGGAGTGGAGAAGTGACTGAGCCCAGCACCCCCTGACCGGTGCCGGGCTCCTTGCAGCCAGTGGGCTGGTGTCCTTCGAGCAGACCGAGTACCCTGTCGGTCGCGGGGAGCAAGTGGCCCGCATTCCTGTCACCCGGCGCATCCTGGATAACGGCAAGTCCCAGGTCTCTTACCGAACACAGGACGGCACAGCGCAAGGCCACCGGGTAAGGCTCTCCCACAGGGTCAGGGGTGCTGCCCAGGGGCCCAGCGGGCACCCCCGTGGGTTCACGGGACATGGCCGCTGAGTCCCTGGATGCTGGTGGTGACCCTGACCAGTCTCCCAAGGATATGTCATTTGTTCCTATCACCCTGAGGAAGGGTGTCTCACTCACCCAAAGTGTCAGTGACATCCTCAGGCCAAAGGGGTCGTTTCCTCCTGGATGGCCAGGGACCCGCCTAGACCCATTCCTCTCCCCAGCCACGGACAACCTGGGACCCTCCGGGGCAGCCTGACCTCCAGTGGAGAAGTGGACTTCCCTGTCTGCCCCATGCTGGGGGTCTTTGGGCTTCTTTTTTTTTTTTTTTGAGTTGGAGTCTCACTCCATTGCCCAGACTGGAGTGCAGTGGCTGCTCCCAGCCACCGCAGCCTCATCCTGCTGAGCTCTGGCGATCCGTCCACCTCAGCCTTCCGAGTAGCCGGAATTACAGGCATGTGCTACCACGCCCGGCTGATTTTTTTATTTATTGTAGAGATGAGGTCTCACCAAGTTGCCCAGGCGGGTCTTAAACCCGCGGGCTCAGGCAATCCACTCACCTCAGCCTCTCAAAGGCGCGGGATTACAGGCTGAGCCCCCGAGCCTGGCTATTTGGGCTTCTTGAGCTGGGATCACAGACCCCACATCTCCGGGCCAGACTCCCTGAGAGCTGTCACAGTTTGCCTTCCCCTGGGCCTAGCAGCAGGAGTAGCCCTCAAGGCAGAGAGTGCCCTGGCTGGGCCAGTGCCCCCTCCCTGATGAGTCCCAGGGGCAGGGAGCAACCAAATCCAGGGGCAGGCAGGCTTGGTTTGGCTTACAGTGTTTTGGAGATTTTATTATGTTTTATTTTATCTGTTGGGGTCTTATTCTGTCATCCAGGCTGGAGGGAAGGGACATGATCATGGTTCACCACAGCTTTGACCTTCTGGGTTCAGGCAATCCTTCTGCCTCAGACTTCCAAGTAGCTGGAACTACAGGCACGTGCCACCACACCTGGCTAATTTTTTAATTTATTGTAGAGATAAGGTCTCACCAAGTTGTCCAGGTTGGTCTCAAACCCCTGTGCTCAGGCAATCCTCTTGCCTCCACCTCCCAAAGTGCTGGGATTACAGGCATGAGCTACCACACATGGTCATTTTATTTACTTTTGTAGAGTCGAGGTTTCACTATGTTGTCCAGGTGGTCTCAAATTCCTAGGCTCAAGCAATCCTCTTGCCTCAGCCTCCCAAAGGGCTAGGATTATAGGCATGAGCCACGGAGCCTAGCCAGGGTTTGTTTTTCATTATGAATTTATTACCAATATTTAAAAACTAAAAACAGCCAGGTGCAGTGGCTCATGCCTGTAGCCCTAGCTACTGGGGAGGCTGACACAGGAGGATTGCTTGATCCTAAGAGCTTCAGGCTACAGTGAGCTAGGATCGCATCCCTGCACTCCAGCCTGGGTGACAGTGAGACTCTGTCTCTAAAATAATAATAATAGGCTGGGCATGGTGGCTCATGCCTGTAATCCTAGCACTTTGGGAGGCAGAGGCAAGAGGATTGCCTGAGCTCAGGGATTCAAGATCAGCCTGGGCAACTTGGTGAGACCTCACCTCTATAATAAATTTAAAAATTAGCTGGGTGTGGTGGCACACACCTGTAGTTCCACCTACTTAGAAGGCTGAAGCCCAAGGACTGCCTGAGCCCAGCAGGTCGAGGCTGCAGTAGCCATGAGCATACCACTGCACTCCAGCCGGGGTAACAGAGTGAGACTCCAACTCAAAATAATAATAATAAACTTTAAAAATTAAAAATAAATAAAAACAAAATCTATTAACATCAATAATTCTCTCAAAAGTAAAAAAGTTAGCTGGGCTCGGTGGCTCAGCCTGTAATACCGCGCCTTGGGAGGCTGAGGTGAGTGGATTGACTGAGCCCGCGGGTTCGAGACACACCTGGGCAACTTGGCGAGATCTCATCTCTACAATAAAAAAAAAAAAAACAAATAGCCAGGCATGGTAGCACGTGCCTGTAGTTCCAACTACGTGGAAGGCTGAGACAGAAGGATCGTCAGAGCCCAGCAGGTCGAGGCTGTGGTGGCCGGGAGCGGCCACTGCACTCCAGTCTGGGTGACAGAGTGAGACTCCAACTCAAAAAAAAAAGTTGGCTGACTACGGTGGCTCATACCTGTAATTCCAGCACTTTGAGAAACTGAGGCGGGAGGATTGTTAGAGCCCAGAAGTTCAAGACCAGCCTAGGTAACATAGTGAGACCTCATCTCTACCAAACAAAAACAAAAACAAAAAAGTCTAGCCCCATTAGGCCCACAGGATATTCAGCAAACACAGGGAAATGTGTGTTCAGCAGGCCAGGCCATCTGGCCATACCCTATTTTTCTTTACTTCTTTTTATTGGTAGAAACAGTTCCCATTATAACTTTAATTTTTTTTTTTTTGAGTTGGAGTCTCACTGTTGCCCAGGCTGGAGAGTAGTAGCATGCTCACGGCCACCACAGCCTTGACCTGCTGTGCTCAGGCGATCCTTCTACCTCAGCCTTCTGAGTAACTGGGACTATAGGCGTGCACTACCACACCTAGCCAAGTTTTTTGGTTTACTGTAGCAATGAGGTCTCACCAAGTTACCCAGGCTGGTCTTGAACCTCTGGACTCAGGCAATCCTCTCGCCTCTACCGCCAAAGTGCTAGGATTACAGGTGTAAGCCACCTCGCCCTGCCTCTTTTTTAAAAACATTTTTTGTAGCAACAAGATCTTGCTATGTTGTCTAGGCTGACCTTGAGCTCCTGGACTCAAGCAATCCTCCTGCCTAAGCCTCCCAAAGTGCTATGATTATAGGCGTGAGTCACCCCACCAAGTCAAGAGAGTCTGGCTATCTTATTGCACGTGCATAAAGATGCTTTGGTACTCAATTTTTTTTTGAGACAACATCTCAGTGTTGCACAGGCTGGAGTGCAGTGACAAAGTTCCGGCTCACTGTAGCCTTGACCTCTGGGCTCAAGCAATCCTCCCTTCTCAGTCTCCCCAGTAGCTACAACTACAGGCACATGCCACCACGCCTGGCTAATTTTCTTTATTTTTTATAGTAACAAGGTTTCACTATGTTGCCCAAGCCGGTCTTGAACTCCTGGACTCAAGCAATCCTACAGGCTAAGCCTCTCAAAACGCTAGAATTACAGGCATGGCACTGTGCCTGACCTATTTTTTTTTTTTAGTTGGAGTCTGACTCTGTCACCCAAGCTGGAGTGCAGTGGCACCCTCACAGCTACCCCAGCGCCAATCTGCTGGGCTCTGGTGATCCTTCTGCCTCAGCCTTCCAAGTAGTCAGAACTACAGGTGCACGATACCACACTAATTTTTTGATTTATTGTAGAGATGAGGTCTCGCCAAGTTGCCCAGGCTGTTCTCGAACCTCTGGGCTCAGGGAATCACCTAACCTCAGCCCCCCATAGTGCTAGAATTATAGGCTTGAGCCACTGCGCCCGGCCTGGCCTATTTTTTAATTTTATTTATTTTGAGTTGGAGTCCCACTCTGTCGCCCAGGCTGGAGTGCAGTGTCACACTCATGGCCACCCAGCGTCAACGTGCTAGGCTCCAGTGATCCTTCTTTTTTTTTTTTTGAGTCGGAGTCTCACTCAGTCGCCCAGACTGGAGTGCAGTGGCCGCTCCCGGCCACCGCAGCCTCGACCTGCTGGGCTCCGGCGATCCTTCCGCCTCAGCCTTCCAAGTAGCTGGAATTACAGGCATGCGCTACCATGCCCGGCTGATTTTTTGATTTATTGTAGAGATGAGGTCTCGCTGCCCAGGCGGGTCGCGAACCCGTGGGCCCAGGCGATCCACTCACCTCAGCCTCCCAAAGGCGTGGGATTACACGCTGAGCCACCGAGCCCGGCTATTTTTAAAAATTATTTATTTATTTATTTATTTGAGTTGGAGTCTCACCTGTTGCCCAGACTGGAGTGCAGTGGCCACTCCCGGCCACCGCAGCCTCGACCTGCTGGGCTCCAGCGATCC